AAATCCTGGCTACGGGCATGCAGCTGATGTCTGTCTGTAATCGCTATAAACCACATTGACAAGTTCCACTTGTATATTTCACTAAAAATCAAATTTACCAAGTGACGATTTTCTTGGCTGAAAATCAAATCTAATATCAGTCTGTCAGTGATTCATGCCTAAATCTGAAGTCTAGGCAAAGCATACTAAGACAAATTGGAAATCTATCTCAATAAAAAAAGGAGGATATATATTGCTACCGCTAGATGCTTTTCTAATTGGCAATTAAGTCTGTGTATCTTCCCTTGGGTCTACAGGTTACAAAGATCATATACAGGCTCTTCATAATGGTCTCTTTTTTTTTCAAATCTATCTAAACTACAAAAGACCAACCCAAGAGTCAAGCAAATCCTTCTGTCATTGAGTTTCAAAACGAAAAATTAAAAGTGTAAAAGCATTACATGTACCAAGGACGTTTGCATGTACTTAAAAATTAGAGACCTGGAAGAGAATTCAATAAATGCATGTAGATCACTCCACACTATCACTGAAAAGTCTCAAAAATATACTATACAAAAATATACTACTTGTATACAAAACGTTAAAAGATACAGCCTAAGTTGTAATGAAGAAGAAATGCGCAATTTCCAGTGAGGTGTTTCACCTGAAAAACGCCCGGGGGTTCACGTGTTGTTATCAAGGACGGGTTTCAAAAGTTCAAACCAGCAAACACAAAAGTTCTGACCTTGCGGCTAAAAAATCTTGTACCTCTGCGTTTTTGAAACTCCATTTAACCGTTACACAATTTGACAAGAAAAACTAGGAAGCAAGACTCTAAACGCACGGGCCTAAAAATACCCAAGATGGCTAGAGCTCTTAAGTAAGGATCGACGGTAAGTTTGCATACCGCAAAATATAGCTTCTAGCAAAACGCTTATACGCAGCCGGCCGCTGTCTTGGATTTTCGATCGAAATTTCGCCGCGCGCCTTTGATTTTCTTCTGAGATTTAGTGAGGATATGGATAAGACACCGTTTTGGACAAAAATCTGAGAGAAAATTCTGAGAAATAACCTTCCCACACAACGCAAACACAACGAAAACCTTAATAGCTACTAGGAAAACGCTACGCAGCCGGAAGCTGTCTTGGATTTTCGGTCGAAATTTTACCGCGCGACTTGGCTTTTCTTCTGAGATTTCGCAAGGAAATGGATGAGACTGTCCGTTTGAGACAAAAATCTGAGAGAAAATTCCGAGAAATAACCTTCATGTACAACGAAAACACATCGAAAAACCTTATTAAAGACGCCACCATAAATTCGCGTCTTGCAGACGACACCATCACCCGAATTCCCGCCCGCCAAAAAAAGCAACACGGTGAGAGAAAAAAAAACGTCGTCCGATAAACGTTCTACTCACTCTCCCAGGTGCGGGAAGGATCTCTTTCCCGCCGCCCCGCTCAGAAAACCCGCGGCTGTCACCAGCAGTAAGGCCCAGCCTGCTAATCTGCCACTCGGCGCCATTTTCTGCCCGCTGTACGGCGCATAGTTAGCGCGAGCGACTAGAAGAAGAACCGGTTCGGCAACATTTGTCACGCTTTCCTGAATTTTGATTACCCGCCATTTGGGGGGCAAAGGTTAAAAAGCGGAGGTCACACTGGACTAGTCCATATTTTCCAAATACAGCAACTGGTTTAGTCTTTCTTTTAAATAATGTTGAATAAACAAACAATCACTATAAATATATCATCAGCAAATTATTAAGCTAATTAAATTATGACCAGGTATTAAATACTATGTGAATATATATTGTAATATTTAGTACACCCCTAGTTTTACACAGATTTGTAACAGTCCGTTATCTTTCTCTGTTCGAAATGATGCATGTACCGTGGCATTAGATACAGGCGTTGTTTTGGCGTTATCTAAATGAAAATGCCGAGTTTGCGAGACTCTCTGGCGTACGAGGGATTTCCGCAGGCGACGAGACGGGTTCTGGAGCAGGCCGAAGCGGCGTGTTCAGGCGGCGGGGAGGTCGGGGGAGGAGGGGGGAGCCAACTGGCAGCGCTGGTGGAGGAGTTCGTCCACTTCAGGCCGCCGGACGCCCTCCCCCACCACACCGGTATAGTGAACAGTCCCTGGGTCTTATATACTAGTACATGTACTTAGTAGTAGGATGTATATATTATGTATAGTCGAACTTATACTAATGACCACCTCTACATAAGGAACACCTGGCCAAAATTATATGTACACTACTAGTGACTACCTGGTCATAATTTGATACTTAAGTTAAACCTGGCCCGTACTAGTGACCACCTGTACATAAAGGCCACCAGCCAGGTCATTGATGTACAGTCTAGCCTGCGCCTGAACTAGTGACTACCTGTCCACATAGACCAGATTTTATCAGTCCCCTGAGTGGTCTTCTACATACCAAAACATGTCGGAAGTTTCCAATTACAGTTTACTGATCACACAAGAGCCAATACCAAATTTGACAACTATGCAAAGGTGACTACCACAGGTTTATTGTACATTTGTGCAAATTATATCAAGCCCAACATGTACACCCTACATAGCAATATTCTATAATTTATGGTACCAGATTTTACAGTTTGTGTTTGAGCAAATGATGTGAATCAACTGTCATATTCAACTGTTGTTGAAATCTGCACAAAAGTTTGCAGATGAGTCTGGTACATGCCGGCCAAATCCTCGCCAATCAAGCGTTTGTCCGATGACTACCAGGGCTGATTACGTGATGCGCCAAATTGTTGAGCCTTTTATCCCCAGGACTGGGATTTGGCAGCCTTCCTGCCAGGCCATCATGTGATCCTTTTGTTTTTACTAATTAGTGGAAGTCTTCCAATGTGTCTATAGAAGCATCTAATATATTTTTGTCAGAACATGTGAGTCTGAATCTATATAGCCGGTATAACCGCCGTTCAGCGCAACACACCAGCTTCGCAGGCACGCGGCGCAGCGGCAGCTAGCTATATCACACCAAACGACTTGTTACACTCAATCTTTGCACATTTAATTCCTGAGATGTTTAAAGCTTTCTAGTGATGATGCCCCAACTGTGCTTGGTGGCAATGAGTTCCACTCTACAATATTTCTTGGAAAATATGTGTAACACACCAGTTTCACTCAATCACACAGGTGAAGTGCTTCTATGTAGTAGTTTAGGCTGCCAGTGCCAGGAATGTAGATTTGGGGGCTTAAATGTTGTATGGATGTATATCGTCTGAAATCATTCCTATACACTACATAATACAAATAATTGAATGTCAATATTGTGAGCAAATCTTCTAAATGTCACTATGTCCTGCACAAGTCCCCCTAACACTTTTACAAATCTTCCAAATGTCAGGGCTACTTGTACAAGTCCCCCTAACACTCGCACAAATCCTCCAAATGTCACCGCTATTTGTACAAGCCCCCCCTAACACCCAGATAAGCCATCACAAATGTCACCATTGCTCACAGTGTCTCAGACAAGCCCCCCTAACACCCCACAAGATTACGAACGTCACATTTAGATGCTGTGTCACAACCCTGAAAGTAAAAATAATCTTTTCTCCTGATACAAATGCTTAAATGTTGATTCAGCTATAGTAAGCTAAAAAGATTGGTCTATTTCATTCTCTAACAAACTCTTTATTCACAAAATTAAATCCACCAACAAAGTACCAATGTTCGAATGATGCGTCAATTGCCAGACAGTGTATTCAAGTACTAGTAGGTTGCTAGGGTTGTGCTAAAAAACTTTACTTTTACATGTATTTATGTTTTAAATAACTTGTCAACATGTTTTCACTAGAAGTTGGCAAATGTAATGTAAAAGTCTGTCCAGATAGAAAATTCATGTACCAGTAACTGCCAAAAGTCATATCCAAACAATATGCATGGATAAAAAGTTAAATGCTTTCTTACGTGTAGTTTGCATCAAATACTATTTTTAAACCCCAGACACTGAGGTGGCATCCATATGGTTCTATAACCATAGAGGATGATGTCCAGACTCTGTTTTGTATTGACAAACAGCTTTGTTTCCATGGCAATAGATTGCTTTCATCTTTTAATCAGTGACATGGTACCAATCAGAAGATTAAATGAGAGACAAGTTTGATAGGAGTACAAAGAACGTCGTTAATATTTAATGACTCGTTACTCTGTAAATGACACATGTCAAAGTTTGAAGTGACTCTTGACTTAAGAAATTGCAACCTTTTAACTCGAGACCAATTTTACTATTCTAAACTAGTTGTTATAATACAAAACTTATATCTTAAAACTGCATTTTAGTTACAGGACCAATTGCATGTTTCTACTGTATAATTTTGTGGACCAACTGGCTGTACCTTATTGGCTACTGGCTATGTGAGTGATTGAGTGAATGAGTGAGAGAGTGAGTGAGTGAGTGTGTGAGTGAGTGAGTGAGTGAGTGAGTGGTTGAATGGTTGAGTGAGCAAGTGAGAGTGTGTGTGTGTGAGTGAGTGAGTGTGTGAAGGAGTGAGTGATTGATACAGTAGTCAGACTCATAAATGTGTGAGTACATGTAATTTGTCATTCAGAAGCATATTTTCCTGAAAACATCTGGTAACCAAGGATTTAAACTGGTACACTTTTAAAAATGTTATTGACCACTACTATACATAAGACACCTTTTTGCGGCCCCACTTTATATATCATAGTCTGAAAAGTTGAACAGCCAAGCAAGCAATATGGATGACGTGATGCGTGCTGAAAGCTGATGTATTGCACTTCTCGCTACTCCCAGGAGGGGGCGCTGTGACTGATTACACCTGGATTCTGTGCCTTAAATTTGACTCAGGGCAAAGCGAATAAAGCCCTTTTCTAGCTCCATCATCTGACACCTGAGAGATGAAACATTGTACAATCGGTTTTCCAACATTGACATTGAAAATATAAGTGTCTTAATGCAAGTTTTACTTGGATGAACTAGGATGAACTTGGATCACTAGCCAAAGTACCAAAAAAAAGTGAAGAAAAAAGGATAATTCCTACATGTACATGTACCTACCGACCCTAATTTTTTTCAGGACTGAAACAGCAAACACAACTGTTACATTTATTTCCCTAGGCCTCAGGCCGAGGGCAAAGCGAAAATAAAGCTGGGTAAAGACGCAGCTAACTATGATTGATTGAGCATGTGAGGTGGCGGGACCTTGCACATTCCACCAGGAATGTCACTCCAAAAATAACGTATTATGCATGTTTTACATGTCACCAATGTGCCTGAAGGCAATGTGCCAGGGATTGAGGTGTTCAAGAATTCATTCTTTCCTAGAACTATCGCAGAGTAGAACTCACTGTCACCAAGTACAGTAGGGGCGTTGTCATTAGATAGCTTTAAACAAAGTCTAGAGCTAGAAGTTCAAGGGTTAGGTGTAACAAGTCGATTGGTGTAATATATCCAGCTGCCGCCGTGCCGCGTGCCTGCGAAGCTGGTGTGTTACGCCGAAAGGCAGTTATACCGGCTATACAGATACAGATACAGAAGGCAAGGACGTGATTTTTTTGTCGAGGTTCTATCACAAATGAGCCCTGGAATTTTCATTCCTTAGCTCCAGCAGATACAAAGACTGCAAAGGGAGACACTGTATCAACCTGCTCAGCTTACTGAAGGGAGACCTGAAGCGCAGAGGGCTAGGCCCTCCCAAAACAGAACAGAAACTCAAGGAGCTTAGAGAGCTCGCGAGGCAGAAGGCACGGTGGAAAGAGATGAAGAAAAGACTGAATGCGGCTACAGGACATTTCCACACGACTGTAGATGCAGAACACAGTGGATGATGATGGATGAAGCATGGGAGGTGTGGGGACAGGGATGGATACAGGAGCAACTCAGTCCCAACTCCCACACACAGCTACAACCTCTGTAGGGAGGCAGCCTTTAACTTTCTCTGTGTGGGAGAATGCTTCATTCGGTTTTACAACTTCATCTGAATGCTCAGTGTGCATTAATATGGTACTACATGTATAAGGCCATACTGGTTTGGTTATATGAATGGCATCCTTTTGGCATGGTGTCCCCAAAACTGATGCTCTGTGCATGAAAATTAAAGTAAAAGTTAGGCAAAAAGAAAAAGGAAGAAGATTAGAAAGGTAGTCTACGAATAATTTTATTATAAAGGACTATGTCTGTGAAGGTTAGACATCCAGGTAATAAGATATGCCAAAAAACAGTAACTCAAGCAACTGGATATGACACTGGAGATTAGTTTTGTCATTGCAGATTTGCATTAGACTAAAAAAGTCATGCTTTTATACCTACTTTTCTGACAACTCTCCAGTGTCACTGACGAAAGGCAGTTGGATGCTACCTGAAATGTCTTCACCATTTCCAAAATCATATCCAGTTGTTTGAGTAACTAACTGTTTTTGTGTGATTTAAGAACTAAACCCAGAGCAAATATACAAAACAATTGATACATGTATAAATTTTTTTGCCTCTAGGTCTGAATGCGCTTCAGGAGTTGCAGCTACTGCAGATTCTTTCTGACTATTTTGGTGGGAAGACCAACACCGGGTTGGCCAGACAAGTCTTCATGGTGCTGTTTGCTACACGGGGAGGGGCAGATAGACTCACTGACCACAAGGTAAAGTCTAGACTCTAGACATAGCCCGGTACTGTAAAATTTATTTACTTGTATTTTTGTAGGAACTCTCTCGTTAGAGGTTTACGTATGTGTTTATGTGATATGTTGGTGTGACGTAGGGCAAAGAATGGTCAGGTAGATTATCCTAGCATTTTCCTATGGAACTGCAGGTGCATATTTTTTCATTGAAACATTTATAATATAATAATTATATAAAATATGGTGACAGCACATTCAAGTTAGACTTATACTGCCACCAACCCATGTTTGCATGTTACTGAGGACGTGCTATTATGGTACTAAGCCTTGGTTGTTTGTTGTTCCCATTTAACTTGAATGTACAGAAATAGAGTGACACTTTTCTCTGTCCCCCAGGTGAAGTTGTTAGGGAAGCTAGTGTCTATGTGCATCGCCACACAACACGAGATGGCTCTGGACTGCATTAAGGCTATACAGATACAGATACAGACAGATAAAGATAATATTATCTTCCCTTTCCCCCAGGTGAAGTTGTTAGGAAAGTTGGTGGCGATGCACCAACACGAGATGGTTCTGGACTGCATTAAGCTTAGATTGTTGGTAGTTCTCATACTCATACACACTTATACATGTTATACAGATACAGATACAGATATCTTCTCCTTCCCGTAGGTAAAGTTGTTAGGAAAGCTGGTTTCCATGTGTATCGCCACCCAACACGAGATGGTTCTGGACTGCACTTCCTACTGGATCCTGCAAGAGGGCGCTGCTTCACCACCGGTGCTGACCCTGCTGACCTCTGTCATACAGGTACTTGTAGTTGTATTTATCTTGTGAAACCTTTGTTTGTTACCCACAGCATCTGTTTTTGATATGTGAGTTCAGGGAATTTTTTACTCCTTTTTACTACTTACATATGATTGTATTATCAAATGGTTTCATATAAGCCCACACGGGCTGGGTGCGTGAAGCACAAGACAAGGAAATAAAGCCTCATTCATTCATTCATTCATTCATTCATTCATTCATTCATTCATTCATTCATTCATTCATTCATTCATTCATTCATTCATTCATTCATTCATTCATTCATTCATCTATGTGCCTTGGCCAATATGTATGTAGCACTTTAGAAAAGAGAGAAAGAATTGTGACAGACAGAAATGTTTAATGTACATCATGTCAATACGCCATTTACGTTCATATTATGTAGTTATAGTTTCTAGGAATAATATTATTATAAGGACCACATTGTCAATGTCGCCATACATTGTACCATGTACAACTGTCAAGCAATAAAGTTCATTCATTCAATCATTCCCTCATTCCTACAGGACTACTGCATGCTCATGCCAGGGACCCTCGACACGTTACGGAAAGTCGACAGAACCTCCCCCAGCTTCGCGTGCCAGTTCGTCACCATCGTGACCGGTCTGTACCAGCTGAAACCGGTTTCCTCCAGCCACCCCCCTCCCGCACTCTTAGAGGTCATTGCGGAGTGGGTCGCCGGAAACCCACGGATCTGTCTCGCGAGTTTGAAGGACACGAAGGGGTCAGCGCCGGTCACTCCAATCCCCGGGCTCTGCCATTGGTGCGTCAAGTCGCCGCTTGTACAAAATCCGGAGAAAAACGCGCCAGAAGACGCCATCTTGTACTCCAAACTTCACCTCGGTGTACTGCAGTCTCTCCTTGCTGCGCAGACCATCGCGCCGAACGCGAAACTCTTACCGGTTTCCACGGTTGAGGAGATCGTAGCGGATTTGCGAGCGCTGGTCTCTGCGGCGGGGCAGCAGGGGGAGGCTGCGCAGACGGCTGTGGAGAGGCTAGCGCAGGTGATGCAGGTTGCCATGGCAACTGGCTGCACGCACCTGAGCAGGAAGCAGGTGGCGGGAGTGTGCGGTCAGCTGCCGGAAAACAGACTACTGGCGCTGATCCTGGGCTATGGAGGGGAGGGTTGAGGGGAGGGGTGCATGGGCAGAGCTGAGGGGTGGGCAATGGGGAGCTGAGGGAGAGGGGAGCATACATGTATTGTTCCCTGAACTGTGCCTATCTACTTTTAACAGTTTCGTGCCTGTATAGGTTAGGGTTAGAATCATACTTTCTATATTGTATGCCGACCAGACCAGACCTGTGCCTGTCTAGTTCTATGCCTGATAGGGTTAGGGTTAGTATCAGGCACGATTCTGGATAGTCACTAGTCTATCATATCCAGAACCGTGTGTTACTTGTTAGTACTTAATCAGACATGGTTCTGCATAGTCTCTGCGAATCCAAGAACAACTAGATGTACCCCAGGCAGGGTTCTGTGTTTCATTGTGTTACCTAACTGTATTTAATACAGTATGAATTGTTTTAACCGTGAGCTTAAGATAATAGTGAAAATCCTCCTTCCCCTCCTTACTTCCTTAAAAACGAAGTAGCAGTAAAAATAAATGAATGTACAGAACCAGTGATACATTGTACCTCCTTTTACAGTTAATAACAATAGTCAGGTCCAATTTCCTTCTACTGATAGATAACCAGCCTTTTCAGGATACAGGACCCCGATTTACGTATCTTTCCAAATGATCTATGTTCTCATTATGTGCGAAAATTGTGCCGATAAATCCACCACCATTGTTCCAACTATCGGAAAACCCTTCCGACACTGTGACATACAACCTGATACACGTGTTACCTGTACTTAGGCCACACCAATTTAATTTCTGGTTCTCAGATTCGCCTCTTCATTTTTTTCTGATTTTCAAAAAAAGAAAGATTCTGGTTCTGAATCAATTCAAAAATGCTCATATTTTGCCCCCAACATTCGAGGAAAGTCCTTCGTAGTTTTACTGTTTTTCCATCTCAATGCAGTGGTTCAAATTTCATTGTTTAAATATTAAAATTAGTTGTTTAAATATTAACCCAGCCTTTTGTGTTGACTTCATGGCTCCTATGAAGGTACTTGGGGCTATAATAGGATGCTTAGACCTGTTTTAATTTTTATTCCCTGTTGCTTCATATTTTCTGAAAAAAAAACAGAGAACCAACAAATTTTATTGGTGTGGCCTAAACTAGTGTGTGATGCCTAGATCTGTTTTTTTTTTTTTGCCCTGTCGCTTCATATGTTATCAGAAAGATCCGAGAACCAACAAATTTGATTGGTGTGGCCTTATCTGTCCTCCACCTGTCAACTCGAACAAAGGCAGAATGGATGTACCTCACAGCTGTATGAATAGATACGCCAGCAAAGGGAAATTAAATCCGACCCCCGATGTCATCTGTTGTCGTATTGATCGCATAAGTAGCCATTAGATTAGCCCGATTTTTCACGTATCGAATTACAGAGTGAAATCTGAGACCAAGAGTCAGATAAAACCAATAGCTTTGCCGATGATGATGACATATTGTATGTTTGGAGTGTTCCTCTGGCCCAACTTGTGGA